CTCTCTCTCTCTACTCGTCGTCCCTCCTCTCTTACTTACTTAACTACCTACCCTCCTCTCTTCTTTCTTCTCTTATTATTAGTTCTACCACTCTCTCTCTTCTCTCTCTCTCTCTCGCTCTCTTGTCTCGTCTCTCTCTCTCTCTCTCTCTCTCTCTCTCTCCCCCTCTTTCTCTCTCTCACTCTCTTATTATTAACCACACATCTCTCTCTCTCTCGCACCAGGTCTTGGCTTCGGCCTCACCTACCTGCCGTCGATTGTCAGCGTGACGTTCTACTTCGAGAAGCGGCGCGCGCTGGCGACGGGCATCGCCGTCTGCGGCTCGGGCATTGGCACCTTCATCTTCGCGCCCTTCACGCAGTACCTGATCACCGAGTACACGTGGAAGGGCGCGCTGCTCGTGCACGCCGGCCTCATACTCAACTGCATCGTCTGCGGTGCGCTGATGCGCCCCCTGGAGGCTGGCGGCATGTCGCGCACTCCGAGCACGTCGAGCGGCAGCGAGTACACGAACAACCGCAGCAGCAACAACAGCGCGTACGGTCGCAAGGGGGCGCCACCGCGGGATGAGAACCGGCCGCTCGTCAACGGAAATGTTGGTGAACAGGTGGCGCTGCCGGCGGCTGAAGAGGGGCTCGGCGGGGATGGTGGGACGCAGGACGGGCAGCTGTCGCCGATGTCGCCGAAGCTGCCATTCCTCAGCCCGACGCAGAGCGAGTACCTGGGCATAACAGAGAGGCAAGTAGTGCTGCTGCTGAGTGTGCTAAACCCCTAACAAATATAACTAAAATCAAGCAGACATATTTAACTATGACCTGGGACCTGTTGTCGGAAACAAATTTAGTCTTAACATTAACATTATATGGCCCTCCAACTATCTCCAACGAGTTCAGTCAAACACAAGTCGTCAACGATAGCTACACACACATCCTGCTGTAACCCCGATTGCAAAAACGTCTCTCGGTCGTGTTCTTTTAATCCCCATCGAACCTTCGCATTGGCAGTCGACCCCACATACAAACAAACACCCGCCACCACTAACGCATATCTCACCCATTCTCTCTCTCTCTCTCTCTCCCACGCGCAGGGTCACGCAGTCGAACCCGAACCTCGTCGCCCTCACGACGGTGGCGCCGTCGGTGACGATGACGCCCGAGCTGAAGCCGCGCAGCAGCAAGTCGATGCAGCACGCGCGCATGCGCACGCGCAGCCACACGCACCACTCCGAGTCGCACGACGCGTCGACGACGACGCCGGGCATCATGTACCGCAAGGACATCCTCTTCACGGGCAGCCTGCTCGAGATCCCGCAGTACATGTCGAACCCGGACCTGTACCTGACGAGCATCACGTCGATCCCGCACCACCACCGCGTCGCCGCGTCGCCGCGCCGCGGCCGCTGCGGCTGGCCCGCGTGGCTGCGCTGCCCCGACGCGATGACGGACGCCGTGCGCGAGATGACCGACATGTCGCTGCTGCGCGACGCCGTCTTCATCCTCTTCGGCGTCTCCAACTTCCTGACGAGCGTCGGCTTCAACGTGCCGTACATCTACCTGCCGGACAAGGCGGTGCACCACGCGATCGCCGCCGAGGACGGCGCGCGTCTCATCTCGATCATCGGCACGGCGAACACGCTGTCGCGCGTCGCGCTCGGCTACGCGTCCGACCACCGGCGCGTCAACCGCCTGCAGCTGTACGCCGCCAGCCTGACGGTGTGCGGCGTCGCCAGCATCGCCAGCGTCTTCTGCGTCGACTTCGTCTCGCTCGCGATCTACGCGGCGATCTTCGGCGTGACGACCGGTAGGTGGCGCTAGTGGGGGAAGGAGTGCGGGGGAGGGAGGGGGGGAGGTAGGGCGTGGGTGTTGTTGGTGTTGGATGTTAGAAGAACGGGTATGAGAGACAACATGGGCGCTATAGGTGTGGGATATTAGGAGGACGGGTGTGTAAGACATTGTGGGTGTTATGCGTGTGAGGTATTAATTCCTGTGACAGGTATATGCGGTGTTATTACGTGAAAGAGCACGTTAGGTATGGGTATTAAGTTAACTGATGTTGAATATTAATGCAGCACGTATACAATAATCATACAGACGGTGCATACGATTAATACAGCAGACATATCATATTAATACAGCAGGTACATACGATTAATACAGCAGGTACATCAGGTTACATACGATTAATACATCAGGTTGTATCATATTTAATACATCAGGTGTATCATATTAATTATCAGCAGGTAGATACGATTAATACAGCAGACACATCATATAATACAGCAAGGTACATAACGATAATACAGCAGACATATCAATATTAATACAGCAGGTACATACGATTAATACAGCAGACATATCATATTAATACAGCAGTACATACGATTAATACAGCAGGTGTATCATATTAATATACAGCAGGTACATATACGATTAAACAGCAGGTGTATCATATTAATACAGCAGGTACATACGATTAATACATCAGGTGTATCATATTAATACAGCAGGTACATACGATTAATACAGCAGGTGTATCATATTAATACAGCAGTACATATACGATTAATACAGCAGACACATCATATTAATACAGCAGGTACATTTGATTAATACAGCAGACATATCATATTAATACAGCAGGCAGGTAACATACGATTAATACAGCAGACATATATTTTAATACAGCAGGTACATACGATTAATACAGCAGTGTATCAATATATAATACAGCAGGTACATCCCGAATTAAT